ACACACACACACACACACACACACACACACACACACACACCCTCCTGCCTTCATCAGTTACAGTCACATTGGAACCAAAGTTGATGTTGATGCAAACATCGTGTTGTTTTCTTACTTTGTAGCCAGAACCATCTTCTTGCGTGCACTTGTTTCTTTCGGCTCGCTGTGCTGCCTCGCCAGGTGTTCTCCCACTGCTTTACTGGGAAACTCCGTCTCACAGGTGTAGCCGAAGTCCCTGGCCAGGTGGAGCGCCTCACCTGTGCACCCACCACAGCACAAAGACAGGTGAGACGTGATAAAAAATAAAAAATAAAGATTTAAACTGTTCAACGAATGTGTCGTACCTTCCACCAGGGAGGTGAGCAGGGTGACGTTGGCAGCTTTCCTCCGTCCTGCAGGCAGGTTCAGACCCAGACGGTCCAACTTCTCACGAAGACACCGGCCGCCGTTCTTGGACTTTGCTCTGCGTCACATGTTGTAAGTAAGTTAGCGTGGCAGCTAACAGACAGTTTGTTTCACAAACAATTAAATGTATCAGCAGCAGAAAGACCAAGTCATGAAGATAAATAAAAGCTTTTAAAAAGATGATGGATGAAGATTTTACCTGTTTTTATCAGAAAGTCAAATCAATTCAAGATGGCCGCCACATAAAAAGACTAAAATGTTAATAAATCAACTGKGAAATGTCCCTAAACTACRACAGAGTATTAGGGCCACACAAGATTTTTTTATTATTACGAGATTAAAGTCGTAAAATTATGAGAAAAAAGAAATGATGTGTTTATTTCCTGTTCCTCATTTCCTGCTTATTTTCCACTCTGCCGTGTACAGACGTGTGTTTATAAAGTATTTCATGATGACTCGTGTCACTGTTAGATTAATATGATTTCATCCAAATTAACTACGTGACGACTAAATCCATCAGTGCATCCATTAATTACAATACAGCTTCAGTTTATAGTCGTTTGCACAATTTCTAAGTCCTGCTACTGATAATTTGATATTAATGTGCTAAAAGATTAAAAATTTATTTATAACAATACTAAAGAACAACTTGACAATTTGTTCAACATTCCTCATTTTAATGCAGTGATAACTGCAGGCTTTTTCATGTAAAGGTTTCAATGTTACGACTTTAAACTCGTAATATTACGACTTTATTCTCATAATATTATGA